TGAACAATAAGTTAACAATATCAGAGAAAGCAGATGACATAAAGAGAGTTAACACTCAGTATATATAATTAAATAAAGTTTCTTTCTTTCTTTATTATTTTTGTTTTTGTTTTTTACTTGGTACAAGTGATCTAGTAATCTAAATCATGAATTACAAATCCATCTATGATTGTTGTCAAATTCAGAAATTAAAAATGCAACCCAGTGTAGAAAAGACATTTTTCTGTTAATTAAAAAAATATTTATGGCTTACTATTTTTCAAACAAATTATTTATCCAAATAAATTATTGCAATCATTTGCTAATTTCTATGACTATTTATTGACAATTATTTCAAAATTACATAAATGTGTTAATTACCAACAAGTAAATCTTGTTTTAAAATCATTGATAAGTTGTAGCACTTATAAAAATGGAAGAGTCTCATTTGTATCTCAGATTTAAAGTCTAATTAGTGAGTTGTAGTGACCTAATATTTTATATAAATACAAAATCTAACAACTGGATTCTTAGGTCTATAAGGTATAGGAGGTTATAGATATCTTTACAAATTTTCTTCAGAAATTGAATTCATTTTGGAAGATCTAATCCTAAGCACAAAATGTATTTTATGAATTATCTTAAGCATAAGAAACACAAATATCCACTTTATCATTCAAGAAAAAAATATTAAAAGGAACTGCAAAATATTTGCTAATGGAAATGCAACAATTTTTATTTATCTAACCTGTTACTTCACACTGTAGTATAGAATGAGTTTTATAAAGGCAAAATTTTGATCTACTCTGAAATTAGCAACATGGTTTAATTTAAAAAGTCACAAGATTTATAGAAGTAATATCTCCAATTCAAACAGTGCTTTTGCTGGGTTTAAATTTTTCCAGAGAGCACTGAAATAAATAAATATATTTTTAAGCTTTACTTTAAGATATTTAAAAGTTTCAAGTATGCTACAGATACAGACTTTAGAGAACACTGAATTCCTTTAAAAAAAAACAGCTATTTCTTTCTTTCTTTTTCTTTTTGGTTTTACTCCATTGTAGGAAGTCTTAAAGACTTTTTTTGTTGTTGTTGTCCAAAATCTCATTTTCACCTGCAATAATTGTATTCAGGTTTTCTCAGCAGGTAAAGTATACATTCTTACAAGGTTTCAAATCTCAGAATTCCAATAATGCATTTAAACTGAGAACCCACTGAATCACGTTCTCTCTTCTTTGTGTGTGTGTTGTGTGTGTGTGTGTGTAAATGTGTGTCTATTACCTTGCAGTTCTATTATTTGTATTAAACTTTAGTCTTTCTAGCTCCCTAGAAATACCTTAGTGAACCCTCAGCAATTGCTAACCACTTAATAATTGTGAGCCCGCCAGCCCCTTCAAGTAGATCGTTAACCACAGAGTGCCTGACAATTTCCAAATCATATCCTCTGTCCAAAAGGAAGAGATAGGGCTTTGTGAGGCCGAAAGGAAGCGAAGGAAAACAAAACAAATGTTGCTCATGCTGAAAGTGAAAAGTGCTTGGACAGATTAGTATTTTCTTTTCTGCAAGGCGCCCTGCCAGACTTTTTTTTTTTTTTTTTTTTAGATAGAGAAGAGTTATTTTTTTGGTTCGATTTTTCAATTTCTTGGAAAGTGTTGGTATTTACCATCCCCAACGGCCCCTCATAATTATGGTTGGTTGTTTTCTGTTTTTTCCATCTGTCCACATCACAGAATGCTGATCCCCCCCTTCACTCTGTCAAAACTCCAACTCTGGGCGACCGTGGGTTTGGAAACTCCGCGGACTCCTGACGATACATCCCACTCTCCCTCTCACGCCTCTCATTTCAGTTGCAAGATCCCCCACTCCAGTTGCAGCGAAAGCCGGAAATTTTCATTTAACTACGCCCCCCCTCTTCGCCCCCCACTCGGAGCCGAGACCGGGGAGCTGAGAGGCTCAGAGCACAGCCGGGTCTCAGCCGCCTACCCTTCTCTCCGGAAGGCTTTAATTTGCACACTTGCTTGCCACTGCGCGGCGAGCCCCTAACCCAGCCGCCCGGTGGGTCTTCAGCAGAGGCAGCCTCCGGGGGCCCCGCCCCCGCTCGCGCTCCTTCCCCGGCTGCGGCCCCGAGCCCCGGCCGGAGCCCCGCGGCCCGGGTTCGCCCCCAGCGAGCGGCACGGGCGACGCCCTCAGCTGTCCCTCCGCCCTCCGCCGCTGTGCCCACCCCTACGCAGTGGAGTGCTGGTGTCTCCTTCCTCCTGACGGGTTACCTGCTTGGCGCCGCCGCGGACACGTGCGGACGTCCGACAGACACTCGCAGCCCCCTCGGGAAGCCCGACGCTGCAAGGCCCCTCAGGTGAGGGGCCGTTCGTTGGGTTGGGTGGGCTGCTGGGTGGGGGGTCCCCAGGGGAGATTTGGGAGCTTGGCCGGGGTCGGAAGCCAGGGTGTGGGTGGGGGTGACTGTGGTGGGTGTGTGTGTGTGTGTGTGTGTCTTCGAGATCGGCTTTAGTTAACCCCTTACGAGCCGAGGCAGACTAGGTACAGAGACCAGTTTTGGGGAGCAAGAGGAGTCCCTCCTAATCTGAGGACATCGTCGAGAGAGGGACATCCTACCCGAGGGACACCCCCAACACTAAGATCCTGTGCCTGCTCCCACATAGCCTTAAGCACAATCACCCACACGCTCAGCCAGCTTCTTAAAGCGGAATATCAACTCCACTCAGACACTCACTGAATCATCCACACTTAAGGGTTTAAAACGCACTGCCTCTGGGGACTCCATGCGGGACAATGTGTTTCCGTCCCCCATATTCATTTCCCCACGAAAGCTCTCTCTCCAGCTCGCGGAGGTGTGGGTGTGGCCTCCACCTTCCTCACGACGAGATCAATGTTAACGCAGGCTTCTTGCGGGCAGCCCCCGCGGGGGCGTTACGCACCCTGAGTGGAGTGCACGCAGGCGGCCGGGGCACAGACTCGGAGCCCCAGAAGCACGCACGTTTGCTTTGGTTTCCCGGTTTGCTTTTATAATTTAAAATATCCGAGTTAAAACGCACACCCCGCGGCGAGCAGCTCCAGGCCCTGCAGTGCGCCCGGCAGTGTGCACGTGGGGCGCATCTGCGTGTGCGCACACGCGGGAGTCGTGGTCCCAGCGCGGCCTCTCGTCGCTGCGCCGGTGGCGACCCTTGCGGTGCTTGGCAGGCTTCGGGAGAGGCACATGGAGGATTTCATTGAGTGTGAAGACAGAGAGCAGAGACAGAAAGCAGAGGGAGGCGGCTGCAGCCTTTGTAGTCGCGGAGGAATGCGGAAATGTTGAAGCACTATGTCAAACTTTTTTGAAATGGGGTCAAGTCACATTCAGCCAGCGTGGGAAAGCAACAACAACAACAAAAAAAAGTGGAGGAGAGGGGGGGAAAAGGCACTGTTGCTCCCGTTTCTCTCCGCCGGAGCCGACCGTCCGGGGAGCGGGGGTGGGCGGGGGGGGGGTGAGCCTGGGCGGGCGGTGCGGGGCCGGGCGGGGGCAGCGGGCGCAGCTCTCTGCGGGGGTGGGACGTCGGCGACGCAGCCTTCGCGGCTGAGCCTCCCGCTGGACTGGGGCGGGGAGGGGGATGCGGGAGGGGCGGGCTGCGCTGCCGGCGGCGGCTCTTCGGCTACCTGTGTGGCCCTCTGCCTGGCCCAGACCCCTGTGCAGGCCCTGGGCGGGAGGGGGGTGGGGTGGGGTGGGGGTGGGGGCTCGTTCCTTGGCTCCCCCAGGATTCGGCTTCACTTTTTAAGGACGGTTTCGCATGGAGTGAGTGTGAGGGACTCTGCCCTCGCTATGGTCCCTTCTGCCCGCACACCGTGGGGATCGCGCCATTTGTTTCTTTAATTCCTGGCAGAAGGCGAACCAGCCAGAGGTTGCGGGGCAGGTAATTCCGAGGCGTCCCGGGAATTCCGGACACGCGGCCGGCGTGGCGAATGTCCCGCCGAGGCCGCGGCGGCCGTGGGCTGGAGGCTTCCTGGGTCCCGGATTGCAACTGAATGGGGAGGGGAAGTGTGCCCCCGCTGTACCCCCCCTCCCCGCACTTTGTTGTGCGGAGGGCTGGCGGGGGAGGGGGGGGGCGTTTGGCCTCTGATAAGACAAGGCCTTAAGCCGAAAGAGGAATGGAGTAGCTTTCTCTGCTACTTCAGAGACGATCCAGGGAATGGGAAAAGGTTCGGGAGTCCTGGCCCCCAGAACGCAGCCCCTTCTCTCTCACCCCCGAGGCTTGGCATTTACACCCCCCTACCCCCAGCCTTTTTAAGAGGAGTTTGAGTTTTGTTGAAGTTGAAATTAGTCGAAAATTCCAGGGCGAGTCACGGTTATGCTACCTTCCCCCGAAGTTATTATTTAAGGAGGTGACAAGCTGAAGTGCGGCGAATACCCTATTCTCCTAACCCTTATGGTCCCGTGGGCTACTCCCCCCTCAAGGGCCCCATCGTCCCTCCACTCCCGAGTAGCGGGAGTCCCAGCCCTCCCCGACCCCTTGGGTTTCCACCAGGGAGGTCCTCCGAGTCGGAGAAAGAATTCCGTTTCCAATCCAGACTCCTTTACCCCAAAAAGACCATTTGTGTGTACAAGTCGTTTTTAAATGTCTCCTCGTCGAAAAACTGAAAGTAGAAAGAAAGGAAGCAATTTCCGAGCAGATGTCTGACCAACCCTTCTCGCACACTCCCAGCATCGGGTTACAGGGTCCTGGGAGCCCCCACCCATATTCTGCAGTCCCACACGGGTGGACCCACACAGTCACTCCACAGCAGCTCGGGCACGACCCCTGAAAGCTCCTCGGCACCCCGGGAGCCCCTTTCCCTGCACGTCCAGGCCCGGAGAGGCGGGGTGGGTAGCAGTGCAATACAATGATGTAGGGATAAATATTAAGCCGTGACTTTGACGTGCCCGGCACCTCCCCTCCCCCGCGCTCCCGGCACACTCTGGGCTGCTCGGCACGCCCCCTCCCGTCCACTGCGTCCCGCGCCGCGCGCTCATCCCCGAGGGGCCCCTGCAACCTCTCCGCGCGAAGACGGCTCCGGCTCTGCAGGGAAAGAAAAGTAACTTCGCTTTTCTCAGAGGAACCAGGAAGGATTAAGCAGCCTGGGAGAGGGCAGGAGCGCACAGAGGGTAGCGCTGGGGGCTTTCATGAAGGAGGAGGAGGGGAGTCTGCGGGGACCCGGAGGAAGGCGCTTGGGATGTCTGATTGCACTTTTTCTTGTCCTCCCGTCTCTTCTTTTAGGTGGCATGATCGTGGACTGAGACGCGCTGGGGCAGAGACTATGTGATCGCCTCGGTGTCTGTGCAGAGGACTGCGCTTCGGGGAGGGAAGAGGAGGGATCGCCTCAGTCAGTCGTTGGCGACTCGGCAGGCGGAGTTTCGCGGCGGCACCGGGGTTGCGCCCGCCCGCGGGGAGGTCGCTCCATCCAGCCCCAGCAGCCGCGAGAGCCGGAGCGCCGGAGCGCAGGAGTCGCCGGGGGTGAGGGAGAGCGAGACCGAGCTCCGGGGCGCGAGGGAGCGGGCCGGGGAGTCCGGGAGCGGGAGAGCGGCGGCCGAGAGCGAGCCGAGCGCGCCCCCCGCCCGTCCCAGCGGCGCCGCGCCGGGCGGTGTCCAGACGGCATGGAGAAGGACGGCCTGAGCCGCGCGGACCAGCAGTACGAATGCGTGGCGGAGATCGGGGAGGGCGCCTATGGGAAGGTGTTCAAGGCCCGGGACCTGAAGAACGGAGGCCGGTTCGTGGCGCTGAAGCGCGTGCGGGTGCAGACAGGCGAGGAGGGCATGCCGCTCTCCACCATCCGCGAGGTGGCGGTGCTGAGGCACCTGGAGACCTTCGAGCACCCCAACGTGGTCAGGTGAGCGGGGGAGCGGCGCCCTCGCCGTCGGAGACCGAGCGCGTCCGGGGGGGGGGGGGGGGGGCGGGGAATCCTCGGGGCCGGGAAGCTGCCGGGGCGCAGGGCGGCAGGGGAGGCACGGCGCGACCCGTTGCCCTTACAGAGTGAGAGTAAGTTTTGTCGACAGAGCCGCAAGCCAGAGCAGGTGACATTGCCAGACCGTGAGCAGAAAGACAGGTCAGGAAATGTGACCTGCAGAGGCTTCCCCGCCGCTGTGCAAGTTCTGCGTATTCTTCCTGCTGGCCCTGAAAGGGGGTCCAGGAAGTTGGGTGCCTTTTAGGGACAGAATGAGCCAAGCTGAGACGTGCCCTGCCAGCCCCCGCATAGTTTCCCTAGCCATTGGGGAATTTTTGAGAGGCAGAGAATAAGAGAAGTAGCAAGATGCGGTGAAAATTGGGATTAGAATTTTCTTGGTGGAACCTCGTATAGATAAATCTTATAAATAAGATTTAAACATGCAGAAGCGTAGGAATATTTTTGCCAGTCACGTCCAGTTTTTCTTTAACTAAAGTTATATAATGATAAAGAAGTGTCAAACAGGGTGGCCTAAGAAACTCCTTCCAAAAATGTTGCCTGTTAGTGTGTGTATTACCTTATGTCTCTGGGTCACCATAGTTTTTAGACTACTTCTCAAAAGCAGTGATGGAAGTCCATGGTGTGGAAGCTTTAGATTCCAAGTGTTCTGCTTTTGCTTTTCTGGAGGGGTTGTGGAAAGGGGATGGAGAGACAGCATTTCTTAAAGCCTCTCCTGTGTGGTAACCAGTAATTAAAGTGTGTGTGTGACTAGGATAATGGTGTTTTCTTAGCGATCCTGGAATTTCCCCATTGTGTGGTTGACATTGTGTGGTGTGGCATGCTTTTCTTTTCTAAACCGATATGTGTAGTTTTTAGTCAAAAAGGAATGCACAGAAACTTCTACAAATTCCGGTGTGATTTTACCTGTCAACTCTTAACCATAGTGTGTTGGAAAACGGAAGTCTTGGGGTATTCTTCCTGTCTTCCCATCCATGTGGGGATTCTGTTCAACAAATACATGCCTACTGTGTGTGCTGCGGATGAAATTATATAAATAAACACAGCTAAATATTTTTGTAAAAAGTCAAGCAATTTAACATTAGTCATCAAAGTCAAGAGACCCAAGACTGACCTTTGAAATAACAAGCCCTCTAGAGACTCAGGGAGCCCAAGTGTCTACAAAGTCTTCCTGGGATTTTTAACTTGTCTCCCCTTATCCTAGGCTGTGTGACTTGTGTGGTACTTTGTTCCCAACACAGACTAAGGCTAGAAGGCTGCTAAGAGTCTTACATACTTAAAAATGATAGTAAATGGCTATGAAAATAGGACCCCCCATTATACCTCTGCATTAGCCACTTAAGGGAGAGGGGGCAAAAGAAAATGACACCAGGAGAAGGAGTGTTTTAGGAAGATGGATTATACATAATAGGTGACCTTTTGTGTGTGTGTTTTCTTTGTTAGAAACCAACAAAAACTCTGCTCTTGAGGCTCTGTGATATTGGAGGGGAAGGGGGCAAGTACATTTTGTCCCCTGTAACTTTGGTATCTTCCTGGAAGAATCACTGAGGTTCTTCCCAAAGGATGAATTCCACTTCTAGAATTTTAGGATCGAAGTTATTGTTTTATTTTGTCTGTTGCCTATGGGGAATGTCTAATTATTTACATGTAAATAAACAAAATACTGTCCTTCCAACATAGAGGCATTATAGAGGCACTCCTGTGTAACACTGTCTTTTACAAAGCTCTATCCTTTTAACAGCAAGATGATTGTTTCTGATATTGTGTTGGTAGATTTTGGCTAATCCGTCTTATTCTCTTGATTTATCCTCTTGAAATTGGCATGTCTTTAGAGATTTCTAACTGACCCATGACTTGAATTCTGTACTGAGAAATTTCAGGAGGCTATACTTAAAATTGAAGATGCAGATAATTAAAGGTTTGCTAAAAATATTTTTACAGGTTAAGTGCCAGTGATGATACCTGCCTCTTTAATAGTTTTGAGGGGCACCTGGGTGGCTCAGTAGGTTAAGTGTCTGACTCTTCGGCTCAGGTCATGATTTTACAGTTCTTGCGTGGGTTCAAGCCCTGCATCAGGCTCTGTGCTGATGACTCAGAGCCTGAAGCCTGCTTCAGATTCTGTGTTTCCTTCTCTCTCTGCGCCTCCCCTGCTCATGCTCTGTCTCTCTCTCTCAAAAAAGATAAATTAATTTTTAAAAAAAGTTTTGAGTAGGAGCTGAGATGGTGTATGTGAGAGCAGTTTAAATTTTAAAATGCTTGGGGCACCTGGGTGGCTCAGTCGGTTAAGCGTCTGACTTCAGCTCAGGTTATGATCTTATGATCTGTGGGTTTGAGCCCCTTGTCAGGCTCTATGCTGACAGCTCAGAGCCTGGAGCCTGATTCAGATTTTTTGTCTCCCTTTCTCTCTGCTCCTCCACCGCTTATGCTCTCTCTTTTGCTCTCGCAAAAATAAACATTAAATTTTTTTTTTAAGAATTAAAAATGCTGCAGGCTTCCAAGTAGTCTTTGTTTTCATCCTGATTAGTGGGACCGTTGCCTCCAAACAGGTTCCCAGTAAAATATCAGTTCACGTGGCCTTTTCTATAAAGCAAATCATACCCTAAACCAGACATTACAGGCTTTGGAACCAAGAAACTACTTGGATAGAATGAGCCTGTGGTTTGTCAAAAGAGACCCACCAGTCCTATGCCATGAAATTCAGTGATACTTGAGAACATTATTGATGATGCCATCTTCATGAGCTACATATCTTCATTCCATTTTGTTTCCTTCCCATTTCTTCTCTTCACCTCTGCCTTGGGGTAGTATTTGGTCCCCAAGACTTGCTTCACTAGACGAGGAATTCCAGATATTGAAGGTTGCTAACATTTGCTCAGACAGGGTCAGGAAATCAAGGACAGGTGACAGTAATTCTTTTCTTTCCAAGGGAAAGTTGTCAAAGTTGGACCCCCAAACCTGTGACTTATTAGTGCCCCACAGGGTCAGCTTTACAATGCTATGGCTGGTTCTTTAAAGGTTTCTTAAAAGGACAGATGTCTTTGTAAGTGCCTTCAAGTCATAAGTAATTGATCAGAATTATAGGCCCTTCCCATAAGTAGTTAAGCCTCTAAGCTTGAAGGAGCATAATAAACATATTAGTTTTTTCAGATGTTTAAGAATTAATTTTGATGGATTTGCCAGAAAGGCTGACTTGTTTTTGCTGGCACTGATAGTGCCTGTATGCACAGGGATAATGACTTGAAATTCTTGTTTACCTCTGCTGGATGCATCCCAAGCTCAGGCTTGATCAGCCAGTCACTGTCTAGGATGTAAATTTGCTCTTATTTTACAGTTGGTAATCCCAAATCCTAGAGCATTTGCCAGAATCAGACTTATATGTCAACCTGTATTAGAGCTTCTATACTCCACAAAGGAATCCTGTTTTGCCTTCTGAACTAAATATATATAGATTAAAAAAATGATATATTTTATAAGCAGTCCATTGATTCACCAAATATTTATTGATGGCCTATTATGTACCAGACACTGCTAGGAGTTGGGGATTCATCAGTGAACAAGTCAGAAAAAGTCTCTATACTTTTAGACTTTACTTTGTAATGAGGTAATTAGTTCTTTTTTCTCTTCCAAAATTCACTTCTCTTTATTTCCATTGGCTTGTTGGGCTATGTTTAGACTAACTGGTTTTATAGAACAGCTAATATATGTGATAATTTGGTTATCAAGAATTTGCTGATTGAATAAGACAAAAACACAATTCAGAATCAAATGCTTTTTATAATTTTTTTAAAATGTTTATTTATTTTTGAAGGAGAGAGAGAGAGAGAGAGACAGAGTGTGAGTGGGGGAGGGGCAGAGAGAGAGGGAGACACAGCATCTGAAGCAGGTGCTGAGCTGTCAGCACAGAGCCTGCCATGGAGCTCAAACTCACAAACCGTGAGATCATGACCTGAGCTGAAGCTGGAAACTTAGCTAACTGTGTCATCCAGACACCCGTGAATCAAATGCTTTTCAAAGATTAAATTTTACCTTAGGGAGAGATGTACAAATTGATTTCACAAGAAGATATTGACATGTAACTAATAGATATGAACATTAGGCTCCATATATTTAACAAGTATTAAGAAGGACCTACTATTGGGGCGCCTGGGTGGCTCAGTTGGTTGAGCGTCCAGCTTCGGCTCAGGCCGTGATGTCACAGTTTGTGGGTTCGAGCCCCGCATCAGGCTCTGTGCTAACAATCCAAAGCCTGGAGCCTGCTTTGAATTATGTGTCTCCCTCTCTCTCTTTTCCTCCCTTGCACATGCTCTGTCTCTCTCTCTCTCAAAAATAAATAAACATTAAAAAATTTTTTAAAAAATAAACAAGGACCTACTATTTAAAAACCATAGTGGGGTTGGGTGCTGGGAAAGATACTTGGGAAAATCATACCTGACTACTTCCCTCAAGTAATTCCCAGCCTGGTGTTTGAAGGAATAAGATGATGAGCAAACCCTGATACTTGATGGTAGTGTGTCATTACAAAGATACTGGTAAGGGCTACCAACCTTGTCCCCAGGGATTAAATTTGTTAGTGTAAGTATAATTCAAATTCAGGTACTGGTTCAGAAACTCAAGGAGAGTTTTCCAGTTCTCTTTTTATTTAAAAAATGTGTTTATATTTAATATTTCTTTTTTAAGTTTATTTATTTACTTTGAGAGAGAACATGCGAATGGGGAGAGGGGCAGAGAGAGAGGAGAGAGAGAATCCCAAGCAGGCTCTGCACTATCAGCAATGCAGCCCAACACAGGGCTCGATCTCACAAACAGTGAGTTCATGACCTGAGCTGAAATCAAAAGTTGGATACTTACCTGATTGAGCCACCCAGGTGCCCCCAGTTTTCTCTTTTTAAAGATCTTCATAATATATAACATAAAAAGAAAATAAAAAT